CATTCCCTCTCAAAGGCTTCTGCGATAGGGGGAGAAAACAAATTTATCCATCATTTTAGAACAGTATCTGGTTGTTGCCCTTGGCTACAGGTGGGCACTACAGTATTGCAGACCAAGATTTGAAGTCTTACGTCTGAGCAGCACTTTCTGGTGAAGAACAAAATCATCAATGAGAAATAATTGTCCAAATAACTTTATATAGACTTAAGCCTAATGTCTGGGAAGTGTAATCCCTTGAACTCTTGAAGAAATATACTGATGACTTTACTCTGGTTATACTTTCCTTTTGGGTGTTTAAAACAATACTGTTGGCCCAAATAAATCATTTTTATACTTAAGGTCATTTGAGGATCTGCTCCTCAGAGGCCACATGGGCTTGGGAGGAGCTCCTGGCTCTTTTCTTTTACCAGTTCCATCTATGTGAAGATAAGTCAAAGGTCCTGCTCAACCATGGCTGTCTTCACTTGGAGGCATGAATGAGATGTTTCCTCTGAGTTAAACCTCCTCTTTGTAGACTGGACACTGGTTCAAGTCCATCCTGTGGGGTCTCCATGTCCTCCCTGAACAAGAGGACAGGTGACTCACCACAGTTACAGGGCATTTTGAGAGATGCTCCATAGTCCCCTGGAATTTAGTCAACCTTAGAGGGCAAGGGGCAAAAACTGTCATTTAAGTCCCTCTGACCAGATTAATATAGGCCTCAAAGTATGGCTGTTAAACGTCCAACAAGGTCGTATATTCTTAGATAAACCTTGAGTAGATATATACTTTGGTCCTTAAACTAGTTGACTAAACTATGACCATAGACATTTTAAGAATATGTGTATATTATTTTTGTCTCCTTCTTCATATATCATAACAAACTTACACAGACCTTCATCACTTGCTTAGACTTTCTCATTTTTTTCTATTTTAGAAAATATCTCCATTCCCATATCCTTTTAACACCTTTTACATTCTCATTTAAAAAAAAAATAATTATGAGACACAATACCATTAACAAATAAATTTTCCTGTGTTGTGAGACTTCTTTTCCTGGGAATGCCAAGCAATGCTTACTCCCTTTTAAGGTTCTAGTGTCAAGCCAATGTTTGATTAAAGTTTTACTGGTGAACCAGTGAATCTACTGAGCTTACTTACCAAGATAAGTGAGGAGTTGCTGAGGTGTATGTATGACCTGAGGATATGCACACTGGAAAGCCTTTACTCAGCATGGGTCATGCCTTCTCTTCTTAGCCTTCCCCAGATAGTATACTTTCGCCCTCCCCAAATTCAGGAGGCCATGTGCGATTAGGGCCAAATACATACAGTTGGCTGGAAAGAGTGGCTGGATACTCTGGTGAGGGTCCAATGACCCTGCTTGGCCCTCTTTTAATGAATGAGTACGACCGTCAACAAGCCCAGTTGTAACTTTGTTTAGCAAGCAGGCTCAGCCAAAGTTGTGTTGATGGTAGTTATTTCATGCAGAAGGGACTGCTATACAGTGTCCTCTTATAAAAAAGGACATGGAATTTAAAAGGATTTGGTGCTAGGATCCACATATGAGGGAGAACATATGTCCTTTGTTTTTCTGGTCTGTGTTACTTCACTTAGTATAGCAGTTTCTAGATCCATCCATTTACCTGCAAGTTTTCATTATTTCATCTTTCTTTACTGCTGACTAGAACTCCATTGTGAAAAAATAACACATTTCTGTTAACTTCTCGTCAGTTGAGGGGCAGTTAGGTTGCTTCCATCTCTTAGCTATTGTGAAAAGAGCAGCAACAAACACGGTTGTACAAGTGTCTCTACAATAGGATGAGTCCTTTGGGTATATGCCAAGGAGTGGTATAACC